ACTGGATTTGCTCTGCTATAAAATTCAGGATGTTAGCTGAGCCCTGACTCAGGGGTACCAATTGAACAATTTTTTTTTTATTGTATGTGAGTTGAGTCTTTGCTGCAATGAAGCTTTCTAAGCTTTGGATAGCTTGGGTAGAACTTAGCACCTAAAACCTGCCTTGTGTGAAGAAGCCATTTATTTTCACTGAAAACAACTTAAAGCTGGAGCACAGACCATCAGCAGCCTGATCAAAGCCACAGCACAACTCCAGATCTGAGCAACGACTTTGGTTTCATGAAGATAGTAGTTCTGCAAATCTGCAAATGCTGTAAATGGTTTTACAGTGAAAGTTTGATCAACAAGGAGCCAAAACTCAGGCAGTTTAAAAGATGGCTCATTTTAACATTTCAGAAAGTTCCAGGTTAGTGGAAATCCAAGTGCCTGGGGCTAGAATTGAGGAGTGACTCTCAGATTCCTTTCCCCATATGGTGAACACACAGAGTTATTGCTAGTTCCCTGTTCTGCAGCTCCATGCTGGTGTGTAGCTCACTTCTGATTAGCAGGATAATTTGACCTTGCAGCAGGGATTGGATCTGGTGCTCCCACCTCCAGAAATGCAGGTTGCTTTTGCCATGGCACCTTTTTCCAGGCAGGTTGGGTAGAGAGCAGCATTTCCCCAGGTCTGACAGGAGCACTGGGGAATGAGCTACAGCTCCCACAGCCGCTTGTTGTTGCTGCTCCATAATTAGGATTGTTTGAACTAGTTGGCATTTCTCCTGGAACAGATTTCACACTCCCTGAATGAGGTTAATTCATTAGTTACATTTGTTTCAAAGCCTCTTGAGCAATCTAATCACTCTCTAATAGTAACTGACTGACCCAAATATTTACCCAGTAAAATAACAGAATTTCATCCCAATTTGTTAGGAGAGGAAGCTTAACCTATTTAAATTTTCATATTCACTGAAAATTACAGTGAAGATCATTCAGGAAAACTTGATGTTTCCATATCCGTTTTTCATATGGGTTTGACTTCAATCTCCACAGCAATATCAGCAGTAGTAGTAGGCACAAAGATGCATCTCTGAGACTCTGTCTGCTGTGTTTTTCCAGGCACTCCCTGCCTATTAAACAAAACACTGCTCACACCAACAGCCATCCCAGGAACAGCCAGGCTTTAAGATTGTCAGCAGATGTTACAGTGGTCACAAGGGTTGCAGGATGAAGACAGAGATGAGAATGTTGACTTCATGTTCAGAAGGCTTGATTTATTATTTTATGATATATATTACATTATGACTATATTAAAAGAAATAGAAGGAAAGTTCTCAGAAGCTAGCTAAGCTAAGAATAGAAAAGAAGGAATAACAAAGGGCTGTGTCTCAGCAGAGAGTGAGACCCAGCTCTGCTGTGAGTGGTCAGTAAATCCAAACATCCACATGAGACCAATCACAGATCCACCTGTTGCATTCCACAGCAGCAGATAACCACTGGTTACATTTTGTTGCTGAGGCCACAGCTTCTCAGAAGGGAGAAAAATCTTAAAGAAAAGATTTTTATGAAAAGATGTCAGTGACAAGCAGACATAGAAAGAGTCCCAGGCATGTGAAATGTTGCTGACAAACATCAGCTGAGATTTCTCTTACAACACCCCCTGGATGGTGCAGGAGTCCTTATGCTCTCAGCTTTTTCAGTTAATCCCTTTCCTGTTAGGCCCACAATGCAGTCCCTGTGTCAAGCTGTCTGTGATGCTTAATTTATGTTAAATTCAGGCACAGATCAGGATAGGATGCTTGAACACCTTTTAGACATTTTTTTCCCCTCCAATCAACATTTCAGCTACTGGATTAGTAACTGAAAGCTAGTGCTGCCTAATTCCCATTTCAGCAGCCAGGAAAGCTCTTCCACATCCCAACAAAGCATTAGGGGAAGGTACAGGCAGGGTTTAAATGAAATTCCACTAGAGTTCTCCATTTCCAAGATCTGTGCTGAAACATCACCTTAATGGCTCATGAACATCTCTGAGGAACTTTTGTGCAATGATGTTTCCATTAATATGGACATGCCAGGCTCAGTTAGAAAGCAAAATGTCACTGTCCCTGTGCCTTGAGTCCAAGTGCATCAATTGTGACTCTCCAAAATCCTTTCCCCCACTCTCTGTAGGGTTTGGGTTGGTGGGCACAGCAGGAAGAGGATAAGCCCTGCCACGTGATGGGAGATGGAAGTGTTTGGGGCAGTGATTCAGCGCTGCTTTCCAGCTCCTGGTACCTCCAGGAATGAGGCAGCAGGAGCAGAAGGAACCCATGCAGGCTGGCTCTCTGTAGGCAGGGCAGTGAGTGATGTGCCAGATGGGGAGGAGGAGGAGGAGGAGGAAGCCAGCACAGATGGAACTTTGTTCCAGCACACAACCAGCTGCGTGGGAGAGCGGTGGGGAGCCTCACCCCTGGCAAGCTTTCACCCTCAGCAAGGAAAGCCAGTGCCAGCAGGGTGACCCACACTGGGACCACTCTGCCTGCTGCTCTTGCAGCCCCTCCATACCTGTGAAACTGGCTGAGCTTCATCACCTCCCCAGAGGAGCACGCTCACCTTGCCTTCGACAAAACCAGACCCCAAAAAGCCGTGAAGTGCCCACACTAGAGCAAAGAAAAACAAACCTGAATTCCTCCTCAGCAGAGCTGCCCAAGTCACTCTGTGCCTGCTCACGCTAAAGGTTGGTGGAAAATTTGGAAGCTCATAGCACAGTCTGAGAGCAAAGAGAGGGATCCAGCATCTTCCTGTGCACCACCAGCAGCATTTCAGGCCAACCTCAGCTGCAAGCAAAAGCAAAATATTTATTGTTAAAGCCTTCTTCCTCAAGAAATCTATGCAAAAGCAAAATATTTATTGTTAAAGCCTTCTTCCTCAAGAAATCTATGTAAGCTGCAATAGTAGCTTATATTTTGCTGTGATTTTTACAAAGCTTACACAAAAGCTATTATGTAGTAAAAAAATCAGGGTAGCAAAGGCTTCATGGGAGGACTAGAGATGAAAATATCACAAAAAGGCTTTCTATTAACACAGGGTTTTAATGCTTCAGTTATTTGTGTGCAGTAGCTGCATTCATTTACAGCTGAGACTACTCTGGGAGTTATTTTCCATGAATTTTAGAGCTGGAAGAACACAAAGCATATGGCAGCAGTGGAAACAATCAGCCCCACATACAGCAGAGGCTGTTGCCTGACTCTTGGCTCTGCTGCTTGTTTTGGCATTTTCTGAGACACAATGTGAGGTAGTGCCTCTGCTCCACATCACACTAGAGGGAGGAAAAGGGGAGAATTACAGCTTTCATCCAGATTTCTACATACATTTAGCTTATTCAAACAGTTTAGGGCAAATGAAAGCAAAAATCCTCTTATGTTTCACAAGTTTTCATCAGCATCATTAATGCCCTGAGTGGCACTCACTGGTGGAAAGGGGGCTATATTCTTCCTAAGTTTTAAATTTATTTCTTTATCCACTCAAGAATTTCCTCCTAGGATTAGAAAATAAAAACGAGAAAGGTGATAAAAATGATACCAATTTCTGCTGAGAAGGAGGAGGGAAGAAGACACAGGCATCTATGGCAGAATGCCCCTGAACTGTTCAGATGAGCAGAGGACAACTCCTGCAGCAGACATTGACCACTGCTGAGGAAGCTCCAGTCCCAGCAGCATCCAAAGACTCAATCCCATATCCCAGCTTGATTTGTCACCTCTATAGTTCTTTCTTTTTTTGGTGTAAACCATCATATCAGGAGCAGTTTGGCTTGGAAGGGACTTAAAGCTCACCTCATTCCACCACAGCCAGAGCTCTATGCCCAAATAAAGATATTTTGGGGGAGAAGTTATCGAAATAACTCTTTTCCTTCCTGCGGTATATGTCACTAGAATGGATGGATACAGTTATCCTGGGGCTATCCTATACCAAGTTGTCCTCATGCTGTTTCCTACAGCAAAGTTTGCTCCACGTTTCACAGCTTTGGAGCTTAGATCCATAGAGTATCGATCCCAAAAATGGATTAATCGAGGTCAGGGGCTGACAGTGCACAGCTGGCAATATTGCAAATAACCCTGCTTGTGTAATGTCAACAGTGCTTCATTACTCCACGAGACAAATATTTGTGACACGCCATAGAATTATAGGATGGTTTCAGCTGGAAGGAACCTTAAGGATCATCCCATTCCATCCCTGCCATTCCAGGGACAGCTTCCACTATCCCAGGCTGCTCCAAGCCTCAGCGTCCAACCGGGCCTGGAGCCCTCCCAGGGCTGCGGCTGCCATTCCAGGCGTGAATGGCGGACTTTGGGCACAAACTGCTACTTTTAACACTTTCAGGGCTCCAGCGGCTGCGGGGGCCGGACTCACGGTGAGGGGCTCCGTCCTTCCCGGCGGGATGAGCGCTGCCAGCCGCTCCCGAGGGCGGGACGGGGGCGGGTCCGGTGTCCCTGAGGGGACGCGGGCGGCGCCAGCCCGACCCTCTCTCAGTGCCTCCCTCCGGGACTACATTTCCCAGCGTGCCCGAGGGCGGGGCAGTGTGGGCCCTGCGCGGTGACGTCACGGGGAGGGGGGAGTGGCCTGCGCCAGCGTGAAGCGGGGCTAAGCGGAGAAGGACGCGGGGCGAGCGCGCGGGAGGGCGCGAGGCCGCGGCGGGCCCCGACCATTGGCTGCCGCGGGGGCGCGCGCCTGCCGGGGGGGGCCCGGCCATTGGCTGGGGGGGGGCGCGCGCGCCGGGGGCGGCGGCGGTGGCGGCAGGACCGGGAGGACGGGAGCCGTGAGGGGCTGAGGAGGCGGCGGGACCGCGACCGGCGGAGCAGGACCGCGACCGGGAGCGGGTCCTTCCTCCCTCCCTCCATGGGGCCGGGGGCGGCCCTGCCCCGCCCCGCCGCCGCCGTCGTGAAGTGACAGCGCGCTGCGAGGCCAAGGCGCTGCTGCCGGCCCGGCACGGGGCGCGGGGGGGTGTCCGGTGAGTGAGGCGGCGGCGGCGGCCCGGGCTCGCCCCCGCCGCCGCCCGGGGGTCTCGGCGCGAAGGGGCCGGAGCGGAGCGGCCGCGCCATGAACTACCAGCAGCAGCTGGCGAACTCGGCAGCCATCCGGGCCGAGATCCAGCGCTTCGAGTCGGTGCACCCCAACATCTACTCCATCTACGAGCTGCTGGAGCGGGTGGAGGAGCCCGTGCTGCAGAACCAGATCCGCGAGCATGTCATCGCCATCGAAGGTGAGACGGCGGCCCCGGCACGGCGGGGCGAGGCAGCGAGCGGCGAGGGGTGCCCCAAAACCTCCCCCAACCCCTGGCCCGGCATCCCCCAAAGCCTCCCCAGCCCATGGTGCTGTGCTCCCCCAAAGCCTCCCCAGCCCATGGCGCTGTGCTCCCCCAAAGCCTCCCCAGCCCATGGCGCTGTGCTCCCCCCAAAGCCTCCCCAGCCCATGGCGCTGTGCTCCCCCCAAAACCTCCCCAGGCCATGGCCCTGCGCCCCGAAACCCTCCCCCAGCCCGCTGCTCTGCTCCCCCGCACCAAACGTCTGCCAGTCCTGTTCTCCGTCTCAAGCCTCCCCCAGCGCATGGCTCTGTTTATCCACCCCCCCCGTCCGTTCTCCAAGACCACGGCTCTGTTTATCCATCCCCTCTCAGCCCTCCCCAAGACCACGGCTCTGTTTATCCATCCTCCCCCAGCCCACGGCTCTGTTTCTTACCCCTCCCTCCCCGCTCCCCTTCCTCCCCCCCACCATTGCCATCCCGTGGATAGCCCTGTCCCCGCCGCTCCGCCTCCTCCATGGCCCTGCTCCCCCTCATCTCCCAAGCCCGTGGTCCTGTTCCCCACTTCCCTCCATCTCCCCCTTTCCCCGTGCCCACCAGCCCGCGGGTCGTGGGGAGCAGCCGCCTCTCCTCTCCGGGCTGTCTGCCCTTCCTTCCTCCACCCCTCGTTTTCGGGGTGCAGGAGGTGTTCCCGCTTGGTCCCCATCATTTCCTCGGCGCTGCATGCCCCAGGTGGCCCCTCTGTTGGGATCTGTGGGGTTTAGAAGTTGTTCTGCTACTCGTCCGCTGCTGCTGTGCGGGAGAGCAGCGTGTTCCTTCGGGCTGGGGTGCAGTGGGAAGGGTGATGCTCGCTTTGCCTGCAGAAGGGTTCGGGAAAATGAAATTTTCTCCGGCGCTCCCTGCAGCATGCGATGGAGACAGTGTGGGGCTGTGGTTTGGTGGTGTGAAGCGGGTAAACAAGACTTGCAGCTGGGTTACAGAGCGGTGTCGGTCTGTGCAGTAGTGTGAAAACAGGTCGGGAGGCAAGATGGAGATAACAGCCCTCTAAGCTTAGATTTATGTGCGTCTATCCCCGCAGGAGCACTACAGAGGCTTGAACTGCTTAGGATGCACAAAATAAGGAAAGAAATCACCAGCGTAGGGAAGTCTGCAGATATTTTTTCTTAACTGTCGCTGGAGTTAAAAAGAGCAAACGGTATTGGCTAGGAATGTGTATTTTGTGGAGAAATTTATGGCTTATTTTGCACGATAACTTGCTGAGCTTCACATCGTGTGCTTTTCCAACTGGAGTATCCTGTCGCTGTTTTGGAAGGGATTCAAGGTAGCGGAGTGTGATGTACAGCAGCTGAGACAGAGCTGCCTAAAACCCACTTGTGTTGGTGGCCTAGCTGCTCTTTAAGTGATATGTAATCCAAAAGTCCCGATGGAAAAGCTGCTATTGAGGTTGTTGCCTGAAAGATTTATTTGTGTGCCTCTGGAGCAGAGGAGCTTGAGCAGACAGATGCTGGTTCTCGCAGCTAACATTTTGGGGTTGGTGTGCTGTGTGGCACGGCAGGGAGGCTGGCAGTGCCTGTCACTTATTGCAGAGCACTCCCCAACTCAAACCGAGTGTGTGCTGGGGATTTGTGCACATTCTCTGCTTTACCAGTCATGCTGAGGTTATGGTGTGGGGCTGTCCCCTCCTGGGGGTGCTTTGCCTTTTCTTTCCTCTCCTGAGGAGTTTAAAACTTATCAATACACCTGGTGGGAGGCACTGTCCCCTTCTCCGTGCTGCTGCTGTTTGCAATTCCGTGGGATGGATGATGCCTGCAGCAGAGTGTTTTTCCAGTGGTAATTAACACATGTTTCTGTGGTATAAATGTGTTTGTGAGTAAGATGCTCGGGCTCCAGTGAGGTGCCAGGCTGGTGTGGAAAGTGGGAGGAGGATGTGGAGCACTGGATGTAGTTATCTCCTTAGCACGTGATAGTCTTTTCATGTATTAATGATTTCTGTTACCTAACTGTGCCTCAGCTCGTTTGTCAATCACAAAGACTTGAAAACCAAAATAGCAGTCTAAAATCATGTTTCAAGAGCTGAAAGGATGAGTAAAGCCTTCACAGATAATTTGCTGTCTAACTTTTATTGGACACTGAGTCATGAGAGCAGCAGCTCTGATAGCTGGGAACGATTTATCTAGAAAATGAGTGTATTGTATGTCTTCTGAGGGCTCTTCAGCTAGCTCTTAAATATTTCAAAATGGAATAGTTACAGAGTTAGAGGTAAACAACAACTCCTCGCCCCTTTGGATTACAGCTCCACCAGGCTGTATTTTTTTGTAAACCTCCTTTAGCTAACTCTTTCTCACTGATAGCAGCTTGTAAATCCGTGTGGCAGTGCCATGTGTTGCATGTAGGAGCAACAGACATTTGGCTTGTGGTGGTTGCCTTCCAATTTTGCTGCAAAGAGCTTGGTGTTGTGCTGATAACTCCCCAAATCACAAAATCTTTTAACCTCAGGGTGCTTGAGGTTCAGTGACAGGAATTGTGGTGTGGTTGGCATGTGGCTGCTGTGAGAAAATACCAAGTGACTTTCTGGAAGAGTTCCTTCCACTGCAAGGAGAGCTGAACCCTGTAAAGAGAAGATAAGAGAATAGTCTTGTTAAGTGCAGGCTGCTTTAAACACCAGCTCCAACCTACATGTGCTCCTTGAACTGCTCATTTAATGCTCCTCTGCTCAAGAGAGGTTTGACAGCTCTGGAGAAGAACATGCTTGGAATTTTAAGCAATTGGGGACTTTCAGTGAAGTGGAGTTCCTATTACTGATTCCTGGAGTTTTCTTTCCTATGTAGAGTGGCACTGTCTTTCCAGTGCCACTCAATAAAACTTCAGGTTTTATTGGCAGTGTGAACCCTCTTCCTTTTTACATTTGGAGCCCATGGGGGTGTCTGGGCATGCTTGCTGGACCAAGGACTGTTGAAATAACCTGAAATTCAAATTCTCCCTTCAGCAGCAGTTGTTTATATTCAAGTGCAAGAGTGCTGTCTAATATGAAGGGAGCAAGTGCTCAACTGGGTCCTGAATTGATTTGTCCTTTTTTGCAGAGATTTCTTGCCTTGTGTTATTCTAAGTTACATGTGATACTGGATAAAACAGTTTGGGTGATAATGCTTCATTAGTTTTTCCTCAGTGGATAAAGGTGCTGAAATAGAAGTGAGCTGCTCCCAGGTTCTTGCATGTCTCACAGTTGCAGAGCCAACAGTGGAACAGCATTTATTCTGTATTTTTCATATAAAGTTCTATAAATGTTAAGTAGCCAATCAGTTTTAGAGTAACTTAGACTGTTCTATTAGTTTAATGACAGTGTAATTAATATTATTAGTCTGTTACACAGACTTTACCATAGTCAGATCTGCCTTCCCATGTTCTGTAGTTCACAGCACCACTTCTTGGTCAACATTAAACATTCCTTATACCAAGGATGTTGTGTGCTTAGAAACAGGGAGAGAAAATATGGATTGCGTTCTGTGGTCTTTGGGGTACTGCAAATATCCTGAGGTGTGGTGATGTGCAAGGGCAAGGGTAGGTAAGAGCTGAATTTGTCAGTTCCAGTTTCTCACCATCCAGGCTCAGACCAGCGCTATGTTTTTGTAAACTTTAGCAAGATGGAAAATCAAGGAAAGATGGTGAAAAATCTAATTTTTAATGCTTCATAAAAAGACTTTAAAACACTTTGGCCAAGATGATGCACACATTATTAATAGTCTATAAAATATTAATATATTAGTAGTACTAACATGCTGATGCAGCAGGTGTTGAGCATCTCAAATAGCTTTTATTTATTTATTTATTTAAGGGGAAATTATTGCTTTAGTTGGTAAGAATACTATACCAGACATCATGTAGGTATGAATTGCTGTGTTCCAGAGCATTTTGTGATCTTTATTCTAGTTTTTCTGTTAAAAGTAAATTTTTAAAAAGCATGTTGTAAGTGTAAATTTTAATTTTGTAATGATGATTATTAAGTGATTGTGAAGAAATACTCGAAGTCTTAGGGGAAATGAGATTGCACATTGGAAATAACTTGCTCAAGGCTGTGCAAAGATACACTGGCAAGTGTGTGGGTGGGAGAAAATGGGAGAAGGTACAAACCTTGCTTTATTTTTTTCCTTCTGGTCACTTTAGAAAGTACTGTTTGCTGAAAATAAAGTAATTCAGGATGGAGCTAAAACTCTTGGAGTACCTGAGCCTTGGAGGCATCTGCTGTAGCTCTCCAACTTTGCAGCCCTTGGGTGCTGGCACTGAGTGTTGAGAACAATGTTACAGCAGGAGTTGTTCTCAGAATTGAGTTGAGGCAGCAGTGGTGTCTGAACGCTTCTGCTGCTACTGAAGGCTGAGACAAGTTATTGAAAAGTGGATGTGCTGCCAAAGCATTGTGCTCTCTAGGGAAATACAGCTGTTCCAGGCCAGGCTGGACGGGGCTTGGAGCAGCCTGGGACAGCGGGAGGTGTCCCTGCCCATGGCAGGGGCGGGATGGGATGGGCTTTAAGGTCCCTTCCAGCCCAGACCGTTGTGGCAGTCTCTGGGTACTTGTTACATTATTTCAATACATCACAGGAATGGTGGCGTAGTTCAGCTCTTCAGGCATCACTGGCCAAAGCTGAAGAAACCCTCAGATAGCACATACAACAACTGCATCCAGAAGCCATAGTAGCAACCGGCCTCTGAGCTTTTGTTATGTTTGCGTGTTGGAGCTGTGGTCAGCCTGTGTGATTGCACAGCTCAGTGTGATTCTCCCAAGAGCCATCTTCTTTCAGATGGCTGGCTGAGCACAGCAGGGCACGGCAGTGTGCTGCTCGTGTTGGTTTGCTGGGGGATTAAATCCAGGTGATTCAGAGTGGGGAATCTGCCCACAGAGCTGGTGAGGAAGTGTATCCAGGTGGATTCTGAGCTTGCACGAACACAGTGAGCACGGACTTGGGGGAG